TGTAGCGTGCTAAATATTAAACTAGGGTGGGATTGCTGCGATCACTAAAAGCAAATAGAACCACAGTAAAGAGCACAAATTATATCAAGCACAGTGATTACTCGCAGCGACTAGTGAGCTGTGAATGGAACTGAAAAGAAGGACAAGAAGCAATATATATTGAAGTAGCAAAGACCAGGGGTTAAAGGGCAATCAGAGGTGACAGATATTAAACATGTGCGTCTCATTGACATACAGGTAAATTAAGATCTGATTTCATATCAAGTCTGTCAAGTCATACCTGCTAGGTGCATTTACCACATTATATAGACTATATACACAGATTTATCACACTAAGAAACGAAAACTTTATAAAAAATATATAACTGACAGTGGCCAAAGTCCAAAACAAATGTAAGCGTAACATTAGACGTCACATGAAAAAGCTTTAGAAATTCGATAAAAATTCGATGGTGGGTCCTCGGCTCCTCGCGCGCTCACTTTTCCCTCACTAGAAACTTCATGTATTAGCCAACAGGAGGAATCTAGGGGCCCCATCTAGCGTATTATTTTATATAAGTTTACTTGTAGGCGAAACGCCAGAAATTTTTTTTGCAGGGCACCGCATTTTAGTACTGTGTCTGGTTTATAAACATTGTCGGCATGAAGACTTCAGATACAGGTTAAAGTGGGTATATAATTTTTTGCACAAAGGTCAGATGGGTCAATCGAGCAAAACATAATAAATTACACTGAAATTTTTCGGATGTCTAGCGTTTCTGTTTGCCCAGACCAGCTAAAAATTCTTATGAAATTATGAATGGGGGTTCAACCATCCAATAAATAATCCTGAGTGGTTAAAAAAGTGGTATAAGCCACTGATGGAAACCAAGACATTTATGAAGGCAGAATATATAATACTTAAGCAGTTAAGCTCTGCCCCCTAATGTCCACAATTTCTCGCCATGTCCATTTAGTGACAAGACTCTCCCCTAGAGATATTGCAAGTAAAAAGGTTAGTACTTCTACAATGAACCCATTGACTGGCAATGTGCCATTTATTTAAGATACTTTAATTACTCATTCAGTCTGTCTTTAGCCAGAGAGTCTTCCAGCTTGTCAAGAGGAGGAGGGTCTTGCAACTTAATTAATGGTCTACTCTTAAAATTATAATGGACTTAAATAAGCATACTACAGGTACTTACATAGTTTTGGACTTCGTGGAGGAGTTATTCCTTTGCTGATACCATAAGACACTAAAAAGTCAATTTCCGACAACAGGCGCTCAACACTCCCATCTGCGAACTGGCATCATGCAACACAATCGAGATTCAAGATTCTTAACTTCTTGTTTCCTCAATTATCTAAAGAATATAAATTATATGTACTGTATTATATATTTATGAGTGGGAATATTATTCCAATATTACATGTATTCAAACTTACCACGGAGCCAGAGTTTTTTCTTGCCGGAGATGAAATTTAACCCGGAGTTAGCACAGCACTAATATTTTGTCACTTGGTTTTGCATATACAGGCAAGGCCGTCATTAATAATACTCCTAACCTCGGCCAACCTTGGTGTCGCAGCATTGTTTATTAACATGTAATGGTTGTTATGGACAGTTTATAGTGTGCTTATATAATTTATCTCAATTCACAGTTTATACTGTATAAAACTAAAGAGATTTAAGAGAACAAGAATATTCATACATCTGTGATGGTTTAACCTTTGCTTACAAAGTTACAATTACAGCAGCTGGCATGCAATTTGGGCAGGCATTTTTAAATTTAGTTGTAACTTGTAAATGAATACAGATCTATTGTTGCAAACAAAGGCCGGATAATGTGCAAATGATACAATTTGAAGTTTTTGAACAGCAACTGCCAAATCTACATATTTAAAACGCAACTGAATATACTAAAAATGCGATTGAGCTGAACAAACCTTAAGTGCGTCATAGTTATTATTCTGTAATACTTTACTTCAAAATATGTTAGCAGTAGCAGAATTTAGATTTTAACCGCTGCGATTTGCTCGCAACTGTCGCAAGCAACGAATTATTTGGAGCACGTGAGTTTTTCTAATTCTATAAATATTCAACAAAAACATTACCTTCCAGTATCTGTTCGCATTCTTTGTCCACACTAGCAGTTTGTTTAAATAACGATGCAGTTTGTAGATCCATATTAAACTTTCAAATGGAAAAATTTAATAAAATTCGGCGAGCAAGTGAACACACAGCCGTTTGAATTCGAAGCAGATTTCGAAAGGACGCGCATCTTAATCCCAGAATCTTTACGCGCTCTTTCGTGGGGACCGCGCGACATGTCGCGCACATGACGTCATGATATATTTTAATTCTTCATTAAATAAGCTAAAGAAGCCAATTTTAATTATTTATTTATTCAATTTTAATAACATATTTGTTTAATTTGAATTTGATTACAAAAATCTTGCGTTGATTGCTTTTAAAAATATTTAAATGTTTCCTTAATTTCCATATACCCTGGGATCGAAGTTGCCTCGTCCCCAGTTTTTCCAAAATCAATACAGCGCGGGTAAAAAGGGGGGTTAGTTTGTTTTACTATAGAAAAAAACACACACACAGGTGACAATAAGCAGTGCCGTTTTAAAATGTTAAAAATTGTCGCAGATGTCTCGTGCTGAATAAACGTTAATATGGTGAGTCAACTGGCCCCAAATACTGTTTGAAAATGTTCCCTAGATGTGCTGTGTTCGTGCCACTCACTCTTCGGGTTCTTATGAACCATTACTACAGAATTAGACAATCCATAGACAATCCAATGTCTTTTGGATTTTGGATTGTCTATGCCACAGCGTACGCAGCAATATGAAGTAAACGTCTTCGTCCGCTGTGGAGTCGACGATTGCCCGGCAACATTTATCACTCCTCTTACAAGCACGTAAGAAGGAAAATGAAATGGATATAAAAAGTTGTTTATTGTAAATAATAAAATTGTGTTGCATGCATATGCATGGTTATAATTAAGATTTATTAAGTGTATGTACTCGGTTCAATACAATAATATTTTCTCATGTCAAGTTAAGATCACTTTTATTGTATCAAGAAATTATTTACTCATATTAAGAACAGTTTTTCTCACATCAAGAAAAAAAATTCTTTTGTCAAAATGAGTAATTCTGTGGGTTAAAATAATTTCTTATTTTAAGAAATTCAATTCTAGTCGAGATTTTGTCCCCTAAAATGATAAAAATTTTCTTCGCATCAGAAAATTTTTCTTTGCCTAAGAAAAAAATTTTTAAGATGAGATATATTTTCTCAGTAAGAAAATGACTTTTTGCTGTGTGGGAGTCATCACCCCTGTCAAAGAACTGACCGAGTGGTGAGCCAAATTGTCGTGGCCATGAAGAAATCTGGTGCATTGCGCTTATGCATAGATCCAAAGCCACTAAGCACTGAAGAGAGAGCGATATCAAATTTCTGTCTTAGATGATTTACTACCTGATTTGTCAGAGGCTCGTGTATTTTCCAAGGTTGACCTGGCATCCGCATTTTGGCATCTAGAATTAGATGAAGAGTCAAGCAAGCTGACAACGTTTTCTACCCTCTACGGAAGATTCCGGTGGTTGCGCCTGCCCTTTGGTTTAAACGTGTCCAGTGAGATTTTCCAGATACGTCTCAACCAAGAGCTCCTGGGACTGGAAGGAGTGAGGTGTATCGCATATGACATTCTTGTGTACGGCACCAACGAGAAAGACCACGACCAAAACTTCGAGAGGCTACTGGAACGGTGTAAAGAAAAGAGCATTAAGTTGACCAAAGACAAATTGGAGTTCAAGTGTAAAGAGGTCTCATTCCATGGTCATCCTCTCACCAATGAAGGTTTGAAAGTCCACCCAGGTAAAGTGAAGGCGATTATGCAGATGCCACGACCCACCACTCCTGAAGAAATCTTACGTTTGAACGGAATGATGAATTACCTAAGTCGTTTCCTACCCAACCTGTCGGATGTTATGAAGCCCTTGCGTGATCTAATTTACAATATCGGAATTAAATAATATAATCAAGGTTGCCGGAGATGAAAAAGCCAGTTTACTAACTGCTATTCGCTTAATCCAGTCTGATGATATTAATGTTAGATCAAACAATAACGAATCTCAAGTATGGACACGAATAGAAAGTAAAACCCAACTAGGTAAAACAAAGAACCAAACACCTTCGCGACGTATTAATCAAGCGAGCAACCAAATTTTAGAACCAAATCAATATGCCTCGTTGGCGGTTGATGAATCTAATGAAAACAAAGATATGGATCATAATGTCACCCCTAGTTCAACACATATAGAAAATTCGACAAACTCCGGTAGAAGAATACAACACCAAAAGGAAAAGCAAAGATACTCGGTCGAACCGACACAACAACACAATGCCTCAAGCTCAAAGTCTACCGAAGGCCTGATAGCGATCCTAGGAGACTCGATGTTAAAGAAACTAAGTCCTTCAAGATTACGCCGTTCGACTGGGAAAAAGATTATAGTCAAGACGTTTCCTGGAGCAACTACTTCGGACATGAAGCATTATATTAAACCTACTCTGGAGAAAAATCGATCCCCAACTAGTCGTGATCCACGTTGGAACAAATGACATCCAACATAAAGAGCCCGAGGAGATAGCTAAGGAAGTTGAATCACTGTGTAGAACTAACATGGTGAACGGCTTGTCAAAAGTCGCTATTTCAGAGATCATCCAGAGGGCAGATGACAAATTGAATACAAAAGTTAAAAAATCGAATGTTCTCCTGGCAAAGGTTTGTAAGAATAATAACTCGTCTCTTATTTCCAATAGTGATATAAATACTTCTAGCCTTAATGCATCTGGTTTACACCTAAATGATAGAGGAGCAGCAATACTAGCGAAGAACTATATTGATTTTTTTCGCAAATGACTATATTCATCACAAATATGCATTTTAGACTATCTTTGCCATATTAACAATTTATCTGATAAGTCATCGGAATCAAGAGTAAATGAACAAACTTCTACGAGCACTAGCTATAGCGAGAATACAAATGAAAATGAATCTTTAATTCCAAAAATTAGAGGCTTTAAAATGACAAGCTTAAATATTGCTAGCCTTCTAAAACATATTGATGAACTGAGACTAGTAATGCATAATAATGATATTGACGTACTCGCAATTAACGAAACTAGAATGGATAGTACTATACCAATTGAATTGATATTCCTATCCGGTTATACTTGGGTTTCCAAAGACAGAAATAGATCTGGTGGTGGTGTTGGCTTTTTCATACGTGATACAATTAATTTCCAGCTTAGATCTGACCTTAACGATCCTAATATTGAAATCTTAACAATTGAAATTACCAAAAACAAAAGCAAGCCATTTCTACTTACCACATGGTATAGACCCCCAAACGACCCTATCGACACACTTTATAAATTTGAAAATTGCCTTAAATTGATTGATAATGAAAATAAAGAAAGCATTATTTTAGGTGACGTTAATTCGGATATCCTAAGTAGCAATCCTTCACATCTTGTCTCTGAGATGAATTTCATCACTTATCTTTATCAATACGAGCAATTGATAAATGAACCTACAAGAGTCACAAAAGACAACGCAACTTTGATTGATCACTTTTATACAACAAAACCAGACTTAATAATTTCTAGTGGGGTAAGAATTATCACTATTAGTGACCACTACTTAATTTACGGTATTCGTAAATTTTATACAACCAAGGGAGCCCCGGAAGTTGTAGAATATCGGGATTTCAAGCACTTTAATGAAAACAATTTTCTTTTTGAATTGGAATCATTATCAAGCCTAAATTTAGACCATTTAGATCCCAACATTTCTTGGTTAACTTGGAAAAATAAATTTCTTCATTATTGTCAATAAACATGCACCCTTAAAAAAACGTAGAGTGTCTAAGAAACGTGTACCTTGGTTAACCCGTGAGTTAAAATATTATAAAGGCCAAAAAGCATATCTTAAACGAAAGGCAACTTTATCTAACTTAGACGGCGACTGGGAAGCCTATAAATCATTGAAGAATCATTATAATAGATTGATTAAAAGTACAATGCGTCAACACTATCAAGAAAAGATACATAATAATTCAGGTGATATTAAGAAAACATGGAAAATAATCGGTGAGGTGATTAACAAGTCAAAAAAAGCCAATAAAGTACTACAGCTTAAAAATGAAAATAACGAAATTATTGATCAAGCGGATATCCCAAATCAGTTTAACAAATATTTCATTGAATTAGGGGATAATTTATCTAATGATATACCCTTATCAACGTCAACTCCCGACAGATATTTTACCAATTTTCAATGTCCAACTGACACTTTATCGCACTTTAAAGAGGTATCAGAGACTGTAATATTGAGATTGCTTTCTAACTTAACTATATCCAAGGCATCCGGTCTGGATCAAATTTCGGCTAAAGTTTTAAAAATTGCAGCACCATATATTGCTCCATCACTTACTTTAATTTTTAATCAATCAATCCGCACTGGCATATTTCCATCTGACTGGAAAGTTGCGAGGGTTACACCAATTTATAAATCTGGGGAAAAATTCTGCATGTCCAATTATAGACCTATATCCGTTATTTCAATTGTTGCAAGAATCATGGAAAAGCTAATACACAATCAGATCTATGAATATTTGATTAAGGAAAATCTACTAGCAAATTCCCAACACGGCTTTAGGCCGAACCATTCAACTCTAACTGCGTTGCTCGATATCACAAATAGATGGTATCAGAATATGGACATTGGCCAACTTAATGGTGTGATATTTCTTGATTTAAAAAAAGCATTCGATACTGTTAATCACGACATCCTTCTTAGTAAGTTGGCAATTTATGGCATAAGGGGGTCGGCATTACGCTGGCTCAACTCCTATTTAACAGGTCGAATACAATATTGCCTATCTACATTAGAATATTGTTGTACAGTATGGCATTGTGGTCTACCTATGTATCTGTCCGAACAAGTCGAGAAAATTCAAAAACGTGCGCTGAGGATTATACTGCCAGGTCGATCCTACGGTGAAGCGCAAGAAATGTTGCAGTGTCCTAGGCTGGATATACGTCGAGGTGAACTTTGCGAAAAGACGATGAAAAATATTGCATTGGGCAGTCGTCTTTCTTTCCATCTAACTCTCACCAGTGAGAACGAACATGTGTATAATTTAAGGAATTTTAAACAATTCGCTTCTTTTAAATGTAGAACTGATAGATTTGGTAATAGTTTTTTCCCTAGCATGATTAGTGTTTTAAACAAATAATTGTTCTTAGTTATAAGTTCTTATTTAATAATCTAATGATATATTGTAATATAGTTACTTTTAGTATTGTAATTCCCATTCAAATCAATTGTAAAACACATTGTAATTCATTCTCATGCGATGATGTGTTATTAAAATACCATTATTATTATTATTATTATTATTATATGATCCTTTTAGCGCTCATATTGCACATTTGACTAATAGGGAGTTTACGCATGTAAGACGGCAGCATCAGGACGACGGCTATCAATACAATATCATTAATCCTATAGCACAAAAGAAATGAATAATTAAAAGTATATCTGGAGTTTCAGACGTCGTCCATGCTCTATTGACGACGGCAAAATGCATATTTTCACGTCTTGTAAAGCACGCTAGCATTTCAAGCCGTAGCAGGCGATTTTTCTAACAGCGTTGATCAAAATTGCTCTGAAGGTTAAAGCTCTGTTTTACTCGTTCTAAACTGTATTCAATTCATAAGAAAGTAAATACAGGACAACATTTTCATACAATCACTTATTTCAAAAAGTTTGTTTAGCCGTCGTCCTGACGTCGCCGTCGTACATGCGTAAACTCCCTATTGTCTCAGTGACAACTTTAATTGAAATAGCTGTACAAGATTAAAGATATGTTATGAAAAATAAGCACTACAACGTTGCATCATTAAAAAGACGTACTTATCCCCATCCGTTCAGTATTTTATCCCCATATCCGTTCCGTGGATCCGCTCCATCCGCTTCCGCATTTTAACCTAATTGTGACATGTTTCACAATAACAAGTCTCATTGACCTTCGACTTATATTTCCAGTGTCACGTTGTGTCATTTTCAGCTTTTCGCATGTATTCAATAATGTCACTTTAGATTCCAATATAGCGGTTTTGACAAGCTTTGACACAGCTCTGTGTACAGATTGATTCTGGTATGATCTGGTAGGGTCTCGTTGCGCTGAACACGAGTTTATACCGTTGGCGTTGTGCTAGACAGTAAACAAGGTCCGTGACGACACGTTCTCGTTGGCTACCTCCTTGCCTTTTTCTTCTATTGCATAAATCTTGTTGGCGAGCCAAGCGATTGGCGATAACACTTTGGCTATCTCCTCGTCTTTCTTGTTTAAATAAAGAGCTCTGACTCAACTGATTTCTTTAGTCTCGACTCTCGCAAGCTATTTTCTTCGTATAATGCACCTATCAATGTTTTCCCC